ATAATAATGAACACAGTCAGATAAACACAAATAAAATTAACATTTTCCCAAATAAAACAAAAAACCGGCCTTCAGAGTCAGCGGCTCTTCACACACGGCTATGCTGAGAGAGGGCTGCTGCAGACGAGCTAAAATAAGCTCTAGCTGCGGTTAGCCTTGGAGCTCCGTTTGTTGTCGCGGTCCTCTGAAAATCAAAACTTTAAAAAAAAATTATGCAATTAATAGGTAAATAGGCCATATACGCTTAAAGGTACAATGTTCTTACCTCAAATGATTTTAAAACATACTTTTATAGAACAACGGCTACAGAAAAGAGAACTTTTAACATAATACTCTGAGCTCTGTGAGCACCACACTGGAAGCTGCTGCTGCTGCAGTGCATGCTGGGACAGCTGTCAATCTCAAGAATGGACAAGTCTGCTCTAATGCATGCTGCGTAAAGAGGAAGGGGCGAGAACTACATCCGGGGACTTTGTCCGTTCTCTATCTGCTGTGCTTGTGAATTGGAGCAGTACCAGGGCTGAGGCTTGTTACGTTTCATGAGCACATGAGAACTCAGAAGTACACATATTGAGAAACAGCATTAGACTGGCCTTAATGAAAAATCTGAGCGACTCTTTCTGCTGTAGAAGAATAGAAGAACAGCCTATGCCTATGCCATTATTTTCTGTCCTATCTGGGGCCAGTTTAATGGGCTGTTCCACAGTCTAACACAAAAATTAAACAATGGAAAATATCTGTATTCAGCTTTACTGAGAACCTGCTACATGATCTGCATTCATTGTTTTTAATTTGCATCATCTCTATAGGGCAGTATATAGATAGCATTGCGTGACGTCTGTCGTGGGAAAAAAATAAGTGTCAGGTGGTACCTGACACTTCTGACAATCACTGTCATCAGAAAAAATCAGTCAAGGAGAATCCTGCCTTGACAACGCCAAATTGTTGTGCGAAAAAAAGTATTCAACTATTCACCCTAGTTAAATAAACGGGGATCGATGGATTTCACTCAGTCGGCACATTTATTCATATCTTTTCAAAGGGACAACAGTTCATCATATAGACCTTATGGCACAACATTCTGCCCTGTTCTGATCTGGATGGCGTGGCCTTCAAGGTGAAACAGACTGAGTGAAAACTTTTATAGTGAGTAAATAGGATAAATTAATACATAATAGGAGAGAAATCTAAATTTTCCGACAACACCTCATTCATTTGGGGTGTCACACCCGGTCACCACGTGCTGCTATTACAGGGGTGTTGACCTAGTGGGTTAGAGCAGTGTGCTTGTGCTCTGAGAAGGTTTCAAGTACCCGGTTCGATCCTGCACTCTGGGTCCCTGAGCAATACCCTTATCCCCTGATTGATCCCCAGGCAACCCCTAAGGGAATGGGTTAAATGCAGAGAGTAAATTTCCCCATTGTGAGGTCAATAAAGTTGCATTATAATTATTATTATTATTATTAGTAGGTAAACAACTGAATAGAAATGACTGGTTCTGCTTGTATGGAGGTAGGGCTGCTGTTAAATGATTTTCTGATGGCAAAGTCTTGTGTTACTTATGGATGCAGTAATCAGACAGGGTTTTATTTCATTGGTTTCAAATAAAAAATGGCTGCATAAAATTTCTTACCATACAGATATATAAAACCAAAGGTAAAATCTGTCTTTATAATCACTAATTGGTTGCATTGTGCATATTTCTAAGCATAAGATTACTTTTTGCATCGTAAGGTAAATATTATTTAATACATAAGAAATGAAGTTGAGTTCCTGTTTTTTTGGTTGATTTTTTTGGTTTTAGTATTCATACATTTTGTCATCACCAAAACACAAAACAAAACGTCTGTTTTGAACTTGATTCCCTCCCAGTGACGCACAGGATCCGGCTCTCATCGCTGGATGTCAGGTCATGTGCTCCGTCTGCAGCATGTCCTGCATTATGGGGTGTCTTTTTCAGCAGATATTCTGTTAGTGGAACAATCATTTACTTGACCTGAGTAATAATGCACATCCCCAACCACCGTCATATTCTGATCCTTCTGCTTGACTCATCATTGTTGGGTAAAAATATCTATGTAGCGACTGAAGCTTTAACTTCACACCTCCCACAGAAAACCCACTGAACCAAAAATATCCTGACCTCAAAAATGGAAAACTTGTTTATTTTAATGCTAAATCCCCACATTTAATGTGTGGAAATGTCAGTCGTTTCATTCTACCCCATTTTTTCTTTACATGACAGATAAAAGTACAGTTTTGTGAGGAAAATGATTCAGTTCCACCTTTTCCTCTGCCTTTAAGTGTTCCTATTCCTCCCGACCGATGACACTTGGAGATGAGAGCCTTTCACTGGGAGAAAGATGTGAAGTGTTACTAGCTGCTCCGTGTTTCTAACCTAGCTGTGAAGTTGTCTCTTTGCGTTTTTCTGGGCCGCATTTTCTAACTGTCAGCCTCGTAACGAGCTGTGCTGGGTTCATGTGGACAGGAGGTGAGTGAGAAAAACGCTTTTTGAACAAAAATACCCCATTTTGGTGTCCTGGATACATTTGAATGCTGTGGAGCAACTTAACTGATCCTGCAGCTGCAAGATGATAACGAAAAACTGAACAAATGCCTCAGATTTGGTAGAGTTTAACCTTTTGATGGGCTGGAATGGTCCCCTAACCCGGATCTATATTTACTTTCTAAAATAAGAGCCATTATATCTATGATACAGTGAGTATGATTCCTGTCATCTTTGGACATATAGATATTTAAAATCGGCTCAGAACGGTACTGGATAATTTCAAGGTCTTAAATTGAGCTAGAAAACATTTTTTTCAAAATGTTTTTTTATTAATCGTAACAAAGATGGTGTTTCTGGGCCAACCTGCCACTTTCATTCATCCTTAAAAGCTCAAAAACAAGCTTATGACATATATGTTTATATTTATAGTAGGGAAGGAATGGTTTCTGAAAACCGTCCGAACCGTTTGGTTCGGTTCGCGTGTGTTGCGTTCGGTTCATGCGCAGCTCCTTTTTCTCATAGGCAAAGCATGTACACTCCAAAGCAGAAGGTGGCGGTACTGCGACTAAAGCCAACCACCAGTAGTAAGTAGGGGTGTGGGAAATAATTGTTTTGGCAATATATCGTGATATTCGGCTGCCCAGTATAATATCGATCTTTCACTTCTTAGTATCGATTTTCAAAAAAAAAAAAAAAAAATGGTTACATAAAACATTGATGGGAAAATGGGCTACCTCTGCACCACCACTCTGGCAGAAAGTGCTGTGGAGCCCTTTAACTGTGCGTGCAGCACCAAATCTGTATTTGAGGCAGTCACAGTGGAAGAAAACCCCAAACAGCATGGATAATAATACCTAATTAATATTTTCTGATGAAAATATACAGCACTTGCTATTTTATCTCATCATTTGATTTTGATAGCTGGGGAAAATATGGCAATATATAGTGATACTGCAATATCGTGATAATATCGTATCGTGACCCAAGTATGGCGACATGTATCGAATCGCAACAGTCATGCCAATACTCACCTCTAGTAGTAAGCAAGAAGAAGAAGCGAAGCAGCGTAGCCGGGTGTAGCAGAAAAAAATCAGTTGTTGTGGAGAATTGTGTGGGTATGGCGAGTGGGAAAGAACAGGAGTTTATAGGTCTGCTGTATGGGACCACTTTGCATTTAGAGTGAACTACGATGACGGCGGAAAGAAAGTTGTGGATAAAAACGGTGTGCAAGCATTGTGCAACACGTTTTGTTTATGCTAACAGCAACACGACCAACATGTCATGCTAACAATCAACATATACTGAACCAAACCGAAAACCGTGACCACAAAAGCGTGAACCGAACCGAACTGTGGATTTTGCGAACCGTTCCACCCCTAATTTATAGGTATGTTTGATCACAACGGCTTAGTGATTCAGGAGAAAATATGAAAACCAAAAGAGAGTATAAATCTTTGTAGGAAGATTTCCTGGCTGGAAATCTATATTTTTTTTTTCTCTAAGACCTTTGATCCTAGAATTAAGGCTTTTCCATCCCAAAGGTTTTTTATATAATTGATCAGAATCTTTGATATAAATTAATTATGAAACTTTAGATTTCCACTGAAAATAGCTAAGTTTGTCAGACATGCTGTTCCCATCCGGAGCGTCCTAACTGGTCGCTATGGTAACCAGCTGATTGATGGCTGCTCGTTATCTTCTTCACCGCCCAAATCTTGTCTGCTGCAGTGGGTCACACTACGCTACTGCTGTGCAGCAAGTTTTAATGTAGAAAAACAAACAATACCATCAATCATAACAGCTTTGAGGCAGGATTTACAGCTCTGGTCTCTTTCTCTTCACTTCTTACTTTGTTCTTTCCTTCATTCAGCCCATCGTTTATTATCTTCCCTCTGACCTGCAGTCGAGCCTTCCCGGCCTCCAGATTCATATTGGAGCCGTTGCTATAGGGGCCACACTTGTATTGGTTTGCTTGAACCGTTGTTCCTGTTGGTGAGAGATATGAAATTACTTTGCTTTATCCTTTCAGGTCAACCCATGTACAGAAAACAACTCATACATAATGCAGAGGGGGATTTCTTTTTTATATGATAAAGCAGCAATTTTCCAAATGTGCTCTTATAAAGGATTGTAGGACTGTATAGTTGTTTCTTTTTTTATTTTTCAGTCAATGACCTTTTCGTGGATAGACACAGTTGAACCCTGCAGAGCCAAAGCAAATTATATGGCTGGTTGAGCAGTAATGTTCTCTCAAAAGGTATTGATGATACAATAAAAGTTGGATTTTCCCTTCAAGGCTAGAGCTCCCTTTGCTAAAGAGCGGAGCCCCTCCCCCATCATCAAGCTGCCATTCATTTAAACCCCTAAGGAAGCCCAACCCGTCCAGGTTTCCTCAGTCACTTTTAAAAATGTTTCTGTTGTAATTGTGGTGGTGTTTCATCAAGCCCGATGGGTCATTGATTTTCTTGTTGTTGGTGTTTGACATTTACAGAAAAGAAAGAAGTGACCCAGAGTCTGGAGAACTACACCTCTAAGTGCCCAGGTGGGATGGAGGTCATCACGCTTTCTGATGGACTGAAGCTCCCTCCGGTTCCCTTCACCAAGCTACCCATCGTCAGGTAAGACTCTCCAGACAGACTCTCCTTTATTGGCAACAAGGGTGAAGATTAGGCGCAAACTTTTAATTAAAGCAGATTAAAAATGTATTAATGTCAGTTTTCAATTAAATAAAGTTAATAAAAACATATTAAAACAATCCTCTTGCACCGATTCCACCAAAAAGGAAATGAAATACACAAACGTCTGAAACATAACACTCTGACGTTCAAACGGTTCAAACTCGCACCGCAAACGCAACATCAGAGGACTGTCGATCACTGATTGGTTAGCAGGCGGAGCCACTTTTCACGGCTAATCTTTAAAATGTATATCTACACCATTAAATAATGTTACACTGGCATTATTCTGTGTATAAGCACCATTTTAAGCATGCAGCTGGTACTGTAGTGTTAGGGCCCTGTCATACCTCGCCGATTTAGCCTGAGTATACCCGATGTCCCAGAATATTAGATTAGATTAGTTTAGATTAGATGAGCTTTATTGATCTCACAGCGGAGAAATTCACTTGTCACATATTGGCGTAGTAATAAAAGAAGGTGCAAACAAGGAGGAAAAAGGTGCATTAAGAAGAATAAACAATATATATATATACAGTATATCCAGGTATATACAGTATATCAAGATAAATAAGGATTAAGGTGCAAGTGTACATGTATCGCACACAATGAAAAACAAAATACAAATAAGAAATAAAAAATACAAGGTAGTAGCACAGAGGTTTGAGGTGACATGGACAATCCGGATGGCTTATATACAGGTGGATTGACTTTTACATTAAAGTGTAGTAGGTGAGGAACAACGGTGAGGAAGTGGTATGACTATTATATTCACATATATTGCACATTCAGCATATTGCACAGGATATTGTTCATAGTCAATAAATAAAAAACTATAATATAGCTGCACAGTGGTTTTACAGGAGTTATTGTGGTTATAGTGCATTATTATAGAGTCTGGTGGCAGCAGGAATGAATGACCTGCGGTAGCGCTCCCTCTTACGGACAGGGTGTCTAAGTCTCTGACTAAAGGAGCTGCTCAGCTCCTCTACAGTCTGGTGCAGGGGGTGAGAGGTGTTGTCCATGATGGATTTGAGTTTGGACAGCATCCTGCTCTCAGCCACTTCCTCCACTGGATCCAGAGGGCAGCCCAGGACAGAAGTGGCCTTCCTCACCAGAGTCATAGGTTTTAAGGAGGGGCCTGCTGACTCCAAAGGCCCTCAGCCTCCTCAGGATCCTAAAACGCTTATGCATACGCTGAAATTTCTCTGTATTTTTTCAATTTATGGCGTACACATAGCGTATTCATAATGAGTCCATAATTTATAGCAAATGACTGCATAACGCACGGCAGCATAATGCCCATTAAGTGGTATACAAGCATCATATCATGGGCATTACGATCAGTTAAAGCTGCTCCCCTCAGGAGCAGCAATGTGCCCGGAGGCGCCCGGTCTGCATAAAAAGATGTCTTTGATCATGGTATTAACCTAGCTGCTGTTTAACGCCCGCAAAAATAAAGAATAAATAAAAAGAAAAAGAAAGAAAGATCAGTCACAGCCGGTTCAGCGTCATGTCTGCTAGGAAGTTTGTTGGTCAAAGGCGTGAAGGCAGGGAGGATCCAACACATTCACCTTGACCATCACCCTATGATGGAGTGATGAAGTCTGAAGGAGAACTGGCGGTTTCATCCTGTGAACCCCCTTTACACCAAAATGCTGCCAATACGCCATTATACAGTAGCCGAAAGTTAGAAACACGTTCAACGGTCGTCTGGAACACGTCAGATATGTTGAGATGCGTTGGAGAGAAGTTCTTGATAAGTTATTCAGACGTTACTTGTAGGTTTTGGGAAAGCTAGAGGCCACAACTTACACTTAACATATGTCAACAATCAGAGAACGTACCTGTAACTTATGCCCCATGTATGAGCATGCGCTGGCACAATGGCTTATTTTCCTGTCAGTAGGCTGACAGGAAAGGGGGTGTGAGGGAGGGGGAGAGTCATGCGGCAAAGGACCACAGGTTGGATTCGAACCCAGGTCACCCACGTCGAGGACTAAGGCCTCTGTCCATGGATCACCAACCATACGCTGGCCTAAATCGGCAAGGTGTGACAGGGGCTTTAGAAGTAGGTAGCGTTGGCTTACCTTTACATTCCCAGGGCCATAGTGATAAAGAAGAGCATGTCTGTAATCCTGAGGCATAGATTCAGCAGGGAAGGAGGTCAGAGGTTTGTCAGGAAGCATCTACCTGCTGCAACACACAGACTGGAGATGACCTTGTTCTGGGCTAAATATTTGGATGCCATCGCCTGCGGACGACTTGACCCACAGCTTTGCCGCCTCGCTGCAATTTCTCTTTCCTGAACAAAACTGATCTGGAATAAATTCTGTTAAACTTTTTACTCTTGTTTTCAGTCCTGTTTATAGATTTACCAAATCTTAAGTTAAAAGTGGTTAAACCAAGTAGTTTGCTCCCAGGGACAGGAACGGGAAGGGAAGCTCAGAGGGGGTCTTTCAGTTTTTGGGTGTCGGGTCTTTCAGCATAATATTCTAAAGGATATGACCAGATCAACACAAAAAACAGTTTCTGAGACAATATTAAAATATTTTCTAGGCTATTTCAGTTCATAGACCTGAAATCACTCAGAGATCAGGGAGATTGGTGCTCCAACCCCGTAGAAACATTATATTAACAAATTCACAGAGAATAGATGTTCAGTTAATTTTTGTTTTTTTCTTATGTGGTTGTATTTAAAATCCGAAATGTTGACTAGTTTATTAAAGTTCTCTTCTTTCAGTTCCGTTTAGTCCAAAATGTTTTAAAGTTATTTAATTTTTCTTTAAAACTTTGATCTCATACTGCAGTAATATTTCTTCTTTTTGGCTGCCATGCAGATCAGCATCCCTTGATCATTTCACATAAGAGAGGATAGTAATTTGATGTGCTTTGTTGTAGCTTGACACTTTTATTACCAAAAGGTGTTCCCAGATCTACGCATCTGAAGTAGCTCTAATAACACGGGCTGTTTGCCATTCTCATCAGTCTTTTCCAGTGCTAGTTATACTATTGGCTGCTAGAAGCCAGGCTGTTCAAAGCAGGATGAAGCAAACTAACTAGATTCATAATATAAAGAAACAGAAAACTGACCTAAAGTCTGACTGGAGCTGGATGAGTATCAGCGTTATGTTTGCTGTCCATCGGACAGAAAAAGCTGCAGCATATCTCAACTTTTTTACTATATTTGAAGCAATCTGAAGTTTCCATCTCGATCTTCCAAGTTAAGCAGAAGCAAACAGATTTTTAAAGGCTGATATGATTGATATATTGAAGTATGTTTGTTTTTTAAGTCCATTGTTTCTAAGGGGAAAACACTTTGCTTAAATCTGCCCGTGTCTGTGTGTTTTTCTGTTTGCAGAGTTAGTAACATTTCCCAGAAAGCCCGGCCATAAATCTCTGTCTTTGTTTTATAGTAACTATAAATATTCAGAAGTATGACTTGGGTTTTATACAATGCAAGCAAATTTAGTTACCTTCCTGTAAATACTGTAATAAAACAAAGTTTAGCTGAGATTATATATACAGGTGCTGGTCATAAAATTAGAATACCATGAAAAAGTAGATTGATTTCAGTAATTCCATTTAAAAAGTGAAACTTGTATATTATATTCATACATTACATACAAACTCATATATTTCAGATGTTTATTTTGTTTAATTTTGATGATTACAAATGACAACAAATGAAAATCTCAAATTCATCATATCAGAAAATTAGAATATTACTGAAGACCAATAAAAACAAAGGATTTATAGAAATGTTGGCCAACTGAAAAGTATGAACATGAAAAGTATGAGCATGTACAGCACTCAGTATTTAGTTGGGCCTCCTTTGGCCTGTATTACTGCAGCAATGCGGCGTGGCATGGAGTCGATCAGTCTGTGGCACTGCTCAGGTGTTATGATAGCCCAGGTTGCTCTAATAGTGGCTTTTAGCTCTTCTGAATTGTTGGGTCTGGTGTATTGCATCTTCTTCTTCACAATACCCCATAGATTTTCTATGGGGTTAAGGTCAGGAGAGTTTGCTGGCCAATTAAGAACAGGGATACCATGGTCCTTCAACCAGGTACTGGTAGCTTTGGCACTGTGTGCAGGTGCCAAGTCCTGTTGGAAAATGAAATCTGCATCTCCAAAAAGTTGGTCAGCTGCAGGAAGCATGAAGTGCTCTAAGACTTCCTGGTATGTGGCTGCGTTGACCCTGGACCTCAGAAAACACAATGGACCAACACCAGCAGATGACATGGCACCCCAAACCATCACTGACTGTGGAAACTTTACGCTGGACTTCAAGCAACGTGGATGAAGTGCCTCTCTTCTTTTCCTCCAGACTCTGGGACCTTGATTTCCAAAGGAAATGCAAAATTTACTTTCATCAGAGAACATGACTTTGGACCACTCACCAGCAGTCCAGTCCTGTTTCTCTTTAGCCCAGGCAAGACGCTTCTGACGCTGTCTGTGGTTCAAGAGTGGCTTGACACAAGGAATGCGACAGCAGAAACCCATGTCTTTCATACGTCTGTGTGTGGTGGTTCTTGAAGCACTCACTCCAGCTGCAGTCCACTCTTTGTGAATCTCCCCCACATTTTTGAATGGGTTTTGTTTCACAATCCTCTCTAGGGTGCGGTTATCTCTCTTGCTTGTACACTTTTTTCGACCACATCTTTTCCTTCCCTTCGCCTCTCTATTAATGTGCTTGGACACTGAGCTCTGTGAACAGCCAGCCTCTTTAGCGATGACCTTTTGTGTCTTGCCCTCCTTGTGCAAGGTGTCGATGGTCGTCTTTTGGACAACTGTCAAGTCAGCAGTCTTCCCCATGATTGTGTAGCCTATAGAACTAGACTGAAAGACCATTTAAAGGCTTTTGCAGGTGGTTTGAGTTAATTAGCTGATTAGAGTGTGGCACCAGGGGCCATCAATTTTGAACCTTTTCACAATATTCTAATTTTCTGATATGATGAATTTGAGATTTTCATTTGTTGTCATTTGTAATCATCAAAATTAAACAAAATAAACATCTGAAATATATGAGTTTGTATGTAATGTATGAATATAATATACAAGTTTCACTTTTTAAATGGAATTACTGAAATCAATCTACTTTTTCATGATATTCTAATTTTATGACCAGCACCTGTAGACTGCTCATAAAACTAAAGGCAACACTAAAGTAACACGCTAGATCTCATGTAATTAGATATTCTCATTGAAAAACTTTATTAATAACGCAGTAGAACTGATTGAGAAGGAAATACCATCAAATTAGCAATGTAAATCAAAATGATTCCCCTGCAGATATCCAGATTAGGATTCATACTTGATTTGAAAGTGGAAAATAACATGACAGGCTGATTCATAGTCTACATAAGGTCTATATAAACCTCCAAACAACACCTGGGAGTGCTCCTGATGAGACAGTGAATATTCTGCTGAGGGATCTCCCCCAGACCTGGACTAGAATGGCACTTAGCTCCTGAATGGTTGGTGTTGGGTCGACTCAGAGATAATGGCCTAGATGTACTCAGTTGGATTCAGGTCATGAACTGTGTTGTCCTGCCTTAGAAGGAACCTGGGGCCCACTACACCAGCAGATTCAATTCAGTTTATTTCTATAGCGTAAATTCACAACACAAGTCATCTCAAGGCACTTTACAGTTCTCCAGATCATCCAGTCAAATTGATTCAAAGTTTTCTATCTAAGGAAAACCAGTGGATTGCAATGACTCATTGACTCGAAGGCAATCCCTCACACAAAGCATGTTTGTAGCGACAGTGGAGAGGAAAAACTCCCCTTTAACAGGAAAAAACCTAAAGCAGAACCAGGCTCAGTATGAGCGGCCATCTGCCGAGGCCGACTGGGGTTCAAGGAGACAGAAGTAGAGATAGAAAAAGAAGCAGAGTTACAAAAAGCAACTGTAAAAGGCAGCCCCATCTAGGAAACACGCAGATGAGCTCAGAGCCAGCTCCTATGTCAGAGGATGAAGAGAGCACATCCAGCCAGTCACAGTCAGAGAAGCAGGACTGCATTGAAGAAACAGGCCGATCTCCAACATCTATAAACAAAGGTGTTGATGGCAGCAGCACAGCGAAAATTTCTCTCCAGGATGGAGTCACAGCCAAACAGGAACAGACACGATGAAGTTACTATGAAAAAAAGCAGAGAGAGTAGAAAGTTATTCTACAGAGTGGGAGAAGAGAGGCAGAATGATGCAAAAGTGGTCCCTATGTCCTCCAGTAGTCTAAGCCTATAGCAGCATAACTATAGAGATAGCTCAGGATAACCTGAGCCACTCTAACTATAAGCTTAATCAAAAATAAATGTTTTAAACCTACCCTTAAGAGTAGACAGGGTACAAATGGTAGTTCGTTCCACAGGAGAGAGCCTGATATCTAAAAGATGTGCCTCCCATTCTACTTTTAGAAATTCTAGGAGCCACCACAAATGGTCTCACAGTGGTGCTTCCAAAGAAATGCCTTCCCAACAGATCCATCACCTAACCCTAAGGGCGGGCACCCTTAGAGAAGTTTTTGGATCGGAACATGTTTCAGTTTCATTGTGGGTCCTACAGTAGATTGTGTCAGAAGAGATAACTAGGGGAAATTAGCCTCTCATCATCAACTCCCCATTGGAAATCATAAGGTTGAAGGAAAACCAAAAAATTCAGTCACCCTTGTGAGGTGATGGTGAGCTTATCCTGCTGTTGAAGTAGTTACAACTGAACCGGTTAGCAAACTGCATCTTGTTTACACCTGCTTTATGTTTCTTTTGCACAGCAGCACGAGAAATCAACCCACAGGAAGTGGGTTGATTTAAATAGTGACACATTTGGAGATCTATTTGTTGAGCAATACATATACATTTATTTATGTATGCATATCTACTTCAAAGCAAAACTAACACTTTATTCCTCTTATTCAACCCAGATCCGTTAAGCTGCTCAACCTGCCAGCCAGTCTGCGGCCCCACAAAGTTAAAGGTCTGCCGGGTCAGAACGTGTCCACCGCCAGTCCCTTCATCTACTCCCCAATAATAATGCACAACAGAGGAGAGGAGCGCTGCAAAAAGATAGGTGAGTCCAAACATTAGTTATATTAATACTCTTTATATTTCTATCTTATTTATGTTGTATTTATTGTTAACATCCACGTTTAAATGTCTTTAAATAGCAGTAAAAGTCATCTAACCATTAATTTAACAGGTCTGGATGTGACAAAAGCTTTAACTAAAGTTGGCAGGAGTGAATGTGACCTTTTGTTGCAAATAAATCTGTCGAACAAAACCAGTTTGTACAATGTATACCGATAAGAAATAATAGATACAAACACATTTAAAAGAACTTGGTCATGCTTTAATTTGCTTCTTACATTGTTATGCAGTTGTTTAATTGTCTAAATTTTTCCATTTATCAGATGCTTTTATCCAAAGCTACTTACAAAGTAGACACAATCTTACATTGAGGAAGGCTTTAGTGTGAAGGCTCTAGCCTAAGGAGCCTGAGCAGCTCAAAGGACACAGCAAAGTCTAAAAGAATTTGAGACAAATTATATTTTACTTTAAAACTTTGAATGGTGTCGGTATAAAAGAGAAAATAATGAGATGTTAAGATACTAATTAATCACAATCTTCTTTTCAGGCTATGAATATGAAGCAAGCTGATCCAGTCTGTTTGTTTGTGTTGTGAGAAATTTTCAGCAGGTCCCAAGCTCTGAAGCTCTGAAGAAATAATTACACGATGCAAAAGGAGCAGAAATTTGGAAAACCACATTTTCTTATTATTTAAGAAAATAATTATTAATATTTTTTACTATAAAATAAAGTGAATAGATATACAGGAAAAAGCAGTTTTTAGTGTGCGTCTGTGGGTATTTTCACTGCCTATCATTGGAGAACAGCTCCACTCTTTGAGGTTGGAAGGCCTCCCTGCCATCACCCTAATGTTTACCTTTCTTCCCATATTCTGTATCTAATTAAAGTTGTGGCCTTTTTGTTGTTAGTTTTCAAGGTTACCTTAAATCTAATTTTCAAGCCGTAGGGAAACGACTGTTTCAACTGTTGCATTTTCGAATTCTTCCGAGTGGTGCCCGAATTTACACGAGTGAATAAAGTGAATGTAATTGGTCGATTATCAAGGGGGCGGGATTGTTGCGGTGAGTGTTGGCAAGCAAGTTTGGTTGTGACCGGTTTCTCTGAAGCATCTTGCTAACCAGTTAGCAACTTAGTGCTAGTAGGTTCCCAATGGGAAATTACATTGGGACCAAGTAGCACTAAATTGGTGACTTAGAAACGACACTGTCAAGGAACGCTATGGACAGAGGAAACATGCAAGAGGAGGAGAGTTTAGTGTCGGAGGTCGTGGATGAGTCTTCTTCTCATACATTTTTTATTTAGAGGAGGAAAGCGGGGATGAAGATGTTGTGGAAGAGGACGGCAGGGCGGCAGAAGCTTGGTTTGGTGTAGAACGCTTCCAGCCGTACATGTTTGAGCCCTTGCCTCGCAACGCTGCCAGTTCTGTTAGCTCTACGCCTGCTGAAGACACAGACGTCCATCCCCGTGAACACTGGGACGGAACTCAATGGGAAAGGAAATTATTCTGGTTTCAACCGTTGTGTATACTAGCTACGACATATGAATAAAGATGCTATGATCGTAATATTTGATTGACAGATAATCGTTGATATAAGATTGGCCAAATTTAGGTGTTCAGGCTGACGTATAACCTAATGACCCGCATAAGATGACGAAAAAAAATCCAAACACAGATTTTCAGACAAGATTTTTTTTTTTATTGAAATTTTCTAACTTTGGGGACAATATCGTCTGATAAAGAATTCATTTATATACATGTTTAAGCCAGAATGATTTGGCATTTAAATATGATTTCCCTACGACTTTAAGGAAAGTATGAATAGTTGGCCTTGGCTGTAAGTGAATATCTGCTCCAACTCAATCCTACAGTATGATATAAACCTCACATGAAGCATAGTAATTAGTTTGATACATCTTAATTATTTAAATTAGCTAACGCTGAGGTTTATTATTTATAATTGATTAAAATTGATACTAATTAGGGTTTTTATTTCAACTGAATGAAGTTTATTTGTTTGCTTTGCAGAATAAACACGTTACATTGATTCATATCAAACAATACATTTTTTGTATTGGAAATAAATACTGTGTTTATATTAGATATAGAAACCTTAAGATTATGTGTTTGAAAAAAAAATAAGATTTATTATTCTAATGAATATGTATAATGTAAGGTTTGTTTAAATGTTTTTTTTGTGTCTAAATGATCCAAAAAAGTAAATTGGATTTTTTTATTGTATTTAATTTACATAAATTTTAACATTTTGGGAAAATATTTTTGAGTGCAGCTTAGTTAATAGATGTTAGAGTGGAATTTAAAACTCATTTTTTTTATGCGAGTTTATAAATGTTGTTCCATTTCCTGTTTTTACTCCTATATCCATTCTATAAAGCAGCTCTAATCAACCAATCAGAGGAAACATGAAGGATCAGTTCATGCTGCCGGTTAAGCTCTCTAAGAAAGGATCAGTGTGTCTGATAAATATGAAATAAAACCAGATTCAGTAAAGCTGTTCAGCTAATAGTCTAGTCTAATATCTATATTATGCAACACACCTAGCAATTGCTGACATTCCTGGGTAAACACACATACAAAGGCCTTAATAAATACATCTTTTTAATCTTGTATCATACCATTATTTTGGGAAATAAAATCCAACATTAACCTTCAGCACATCTACATAACGAGCGAATAAGAAACAGTTGTTTAAACCAAATCACTGGTCCCACACTTATTGCCTATTCTGCTGTGAACCCTTTGTCCAGGCCCATTCTGTGAATAGAACAGCAGTTTGGTTTCTCCTATAACATCTAACATGCTGGGAGTCTACAGTCATCTGTATTCATTCTGCAGAAGACCCCTCAGGTCTGGCTTCTCTGACGGCCATGAAGGAATCTTTATTTGTGTCTGGTGAATCGTTTACGTCCCAATTTCTTTTTCTAGCAGAGGCCACCAGACTTTTTATTTTCTCTACATCTCCGGGTATTTATGACTCTATGCTCCCTGAAAAGCATCCCAGTCTGTGTTTAACCTCTTCTTTGTCCTCCCAAAAACAATTGTGCCTTTTTAATGTTGTAGGATTGGTTTACATTGCAGGTTTTTTTTGCTTTTTTCAATCTGTGTTCCTAAGTTCCAGAAGATTACTGAACACAGAACCTTTACTGAGTTTTTTTTGTAAAGAAAAAAACAGGTTACAAAAATCCCCAAATAGTTTTTAGAGAATCTATGGCATCATTTCAAACTTATCTACTTAATTTCTTCCTGTATTTCCAAAAAAAGTGGAAAAAAAAACAATCCACCGTTTCGCTTTCCATCGAGGAAGATTTTTTAATTCAAAACAATTGTTCTCTACTTAAAAACACACTTTAGATTTTAAAATGGAAAAATGAAATAAAATGATCATTTTATTTCAGTGTTAAATTCTGTAATTCTAAAGGAAATTATTAAAATTAAAAATGTCTCTGGACCTTGGCTGGTTGATGATTATCTTAATTCGGACCCCGCTGAGTTTTAATTGGTTACACCTGCCCTAAGAGTCATATCACCCATATGCAACATCCACCTGTTGGTGCATAACATTGCTACTTCAGGGTTCCCGCAGGTCCTTAAAAAGTCTTAAAAGGCATTGAATTCTTCAAAATAAATTTAAGGCCTTAATTGGTATTAAAATGTCTTAAATCAGTCTTTCGTAGGTCTTAAATTTTAAAACATCTTAAATAGGATTATTTTTATTATGATTTATTTTTTTAATCTTAATAAAACATTAAAATTGACCTTTTTTTTATTTTAAAAAAATAACGGCTCGCCATTATTGGTTCCGTCATTTGGGATTTGGGAGATGCGCCATTTACTTTTTATCTGGAAAATATGAGCAAGTGTAAATGTAATGAAAATTTGCTCCAGCCAAGAGTTTTCTCCATGGCTAAAACCAGGGAACATACATGAGGCTCAGTGGATTTAGTGCAAGAAGCGATTCAAGCTCAGAACGATGGGAATTAAGGCAGTGGAGTCACATGCGAGGCACGAAACACAAAACGTCAAAATGGGAGTTACAGAGAAACAGCCGGTATTTCTCAGTTTTGTTCCACCCTTGTCTCTGCAACGCCTCCACTTATCACCAAATCAAACATACTAAGAAAACGATACAAAGAAAAATAACTGCAAAAAAGACTTAGCACTGGTTATGCTGTGGCTTTAAAACTGATTTGTTTTGTTCCCTGCTAAAACAAAGTTTGTGAATTCAGTTAAATAATTGTTAAAATATATCTGTCATTTGTGTGTTTTTAGCTTTCTTCCTGTATGGGAAGCTTTTCAAAATTTGAAACATTAGTGCAGTGGTTTATGTTAAAATAAACCTTTGGGTTAAGTTGTGGCAAGCGGATTTTCTTGTGTTTCTTGTGAATTTGGTCTTAAATTTTTATTTCAAGTGGCATTAAAAAGTCTTAAAAAGTCTTGAATTTAACTTGCCTTATGCTGTAGGAACCCTGTAATTGTCTTTTGAATGAATATAAACAGATTTTTGCAGCCCACTTAGCACCTCTATCCATCTTTTGCTCCAATCATTCTTGGACAACCTTCAAGTGGTGGGATCATAAAATCATTTCTGCACGGACTCTTCATTCACTCAGTATTCAGAACCAAGCAAATAAAACCAAATTTAATGTATTAGACAACTTCTTTTCTCTCTTAAACTGGCATTAGCTTGAACTTTTAGAACCTATCCCCCAAACACTCCCAAGTCAGGTGGAAGAAACATGTTTTTCTCTCTACGTGTAAACGCTCATGTTTTCTTACTACCGTTCTATCCTGCTCTCATTAGTGCCCACATATATCTTTGTATTGTAATTTGCATGAGAAAATAGAAGTCATTTTGTCAGCTAGATTGGAACCTGCAGCGATTTTATTAAAGCCCTTCAAACCAAGAGACAAATCTTTACCTGCTGCAGCAGAAACAACAACAAGCGTAAACTCATTTAGTGTAA